TTTTCTTTCATTAAAACTTTGTACAAAGACCACCTAGACCTAGACTATATAGTAAGTTTCCCAGTAAACTGCACACCAATTTCTGTAAAATTAAAAAAAATCTTCTGTACATAAAAACAGTAATAATAAATAAATTTCATTTAATTTTATTAATACATATTCTATCATAAGCATAAATTAGACAATCTTATTTATTTATATATTTTCATAATGTTCTGCTCAAAATATTAATTTTAATAAATAATTGATACAATTTGATAATTATTAAGATTGTTTATTTCTATAATTTTATTATATTATATATAATAAATCTAAAATTTATTATATTATCTAAAATTTTATTATATTGTATTATAAACATTTATTAATAGATCAGTCATGAATTAGTTTAAATATAATTAATTTTTATCATATAAACTGATCGATAATAATGTTTTTGTTAATATGTATTTTTTTATTTCTTTTTAGAATACTATTTTTTGCATTTTAATAATAAATATAATTGTTTTATGTAATTTCTTTTTACATAATCCTTACCAAAAGTATGGTTATTAATCCTATACCACCGTTACCACCGTTACCACCGTTACCACCGTTACCACCGTTACCATCGTTACCACCATCGTGTCCACCATCGTGTCCACCGTCATGTCCACCGTCATGTCCACCACCGTGTTCATCATTTTCATCATGTTTACCAGAATGTACAGGAGGATGCTTTGAATGAGATGGTTCTTTCGCTCGATCGAGAGTCTAATTAAAAAGAAAAAAAAAGTAAAAGACTGAACAAAAAAAAGTTTATAATAATTAATTTAATTGACAATTTCTAGCACAAAATTTAATTAAATTTGTTAAATAAATAATAAACTCTAATAAATAAGCTCTGATCTAACATTTTTGTCTAATCTGTAGATCAAAGTGATCCTAAAATGCGAAGTCCGAATTACGAGATCGCTGTTTTACTGATGATATCGACATATTTTTATATACTGCTACATCAATGTCGCACACATAAATTTATACATAAATTTTCGTATAACAATAGCGTTTTAATCAGAAGTCTAAGTTTAATTCTAAGAATTCCACGTTGTTTGTTCATATGAGCTATTAGTTACGAATTGATTTTAGATGCAGATTATAAAATTTTTATATTAAGCAAATGTTATGATACTGATAACTTCAGTGATAAGCCATATTGAATTAAGAAATGGTAAAGAAGATCTTAATTTAAATAATTTTTTTTGTTTGTAGCTTAAACTATAGACACGTATTAATGCGTATACTTTAATCATGGAAATTAAAAAATTTTCAAATTTGTGAAAGAGGAAAAAAATATTTGTTATATAAAAATTGTGATTAATCGATAAAACAGACGATTTTAAGATTCCTTTAGCATCTATAATGAGATTTTTAGGTGAAAATCTTAAAATTTAAGCTTCCATAAGAACCATAAGAAATTGACCAATCATGATCAAATATGAGGAGAATAATCGACTATTGGTAAATTTCTTACGGCTTAGGGCTTAAGCTAATTAATTTAAGCTTTAACAAAATGTGTTGAGGTTTTTTCGCGGTTTAACTCATTTCTATATTTTTATTAAACATCTTTACATCTTTATGTATAACGATTTTGAAGTGCGCACTAATTTTATCAATGAAAAACACTATCATATACAAATTTTTGCGAAATATTCTGAAAAGAAGTCAGAATTCTATCTTTTAATAGAGAAATAAAGCTCAAAAACTGTGATAAATGTATATATATGTATATATACTATATATGTGTGTATACATAGGTATACATACATATATATATTCATATATGTATATATAAGTATATATACCTTTATCATATATTTATGTATATAGGTATATATATTATACATGTGTGTGTGTGTGTGTGTGTGTGTGTGTGTGTGTGTGTGTGTGTGTGTGTGTGTGTACAATACGATCTAGTTACGACTAAAATTTCTATGGCTAGAAATAAAGTAATGATAAAAGTAACTAGTGAAATCGTTAACATTATTCCAAAAATGTAACTGCATTACAATGAACGTTACTCAGAAGAAACTGTAATGTCGTCACCCATTCGTTATCGAAAAAAGTAACTTGTAATGTAATGTAATACATTACTTTACCAACCCTATATTATACTATACATATTATATTATACCATAAATGTTATTCAGAAGAATTTTATTTTCGATAGTGTGTTAAAATGAATTGATATACCGTATTATATCCTAAAGATATATCCTTTAAATAAATAAGAATAATAATTCTACTAAATAAGAATAATAATTCTACTAAATAAAATATTTATTTTCTTATTATTTCTTAAAGATTTTTTATTTATAAACAATATTTTTTATATTTACTAACATTATTTTCTTTTGACAAGTTGATTGGTATAATGTAATAATAAAAATTATTTATAATAGGGGTAGCCGAATAAAACGTAGCGAACGAAACATTCAGATAAATTATCAACTATAATATGTTAATAATCATTATAGTTAACAAGGCATTTTTTTCCTTCGTGAAATTAGAAAACGGATATTCATAAAATTTCTTAAGCTGGGATCAATTCCGCTCACAAATCGTTACATACACTGCTGCGTCCAATGAAAATTTTCAGTCGTTCAAATTCTTTCTGAGTATCTCCGATTGTGTAACTCTTGTGTAACTCTTGTGTAACGATAGTTTGTTATGGTCATGTTGTTGCGCAGATTTTTTACCATGTATAATATCTGCACAACGACAATATAATAATGATACCGACAATATCGTTAAAAAAAGTTACAGAATCAAGATACTATTAGATTTCTAAAGAAGTGAAAATCGCATAGCGACACAGTTCCGATGGAAAATATCCTGTAGAGTATCTTGTTTACAGCCCTTTGTCGCCATGTGATTTCTACATCTTTGAATATTTGAAGAAAAATTTGAAAGGTAAGAAATTTTCCTTAGGCACAGCAGTGTAAGAGATTATTTGCGAGTGTTTTCGATCTCCGTTCAAGAGATTATATAAATAGAGCATCCTTCGTCTGGTTTCACAAGAAAAGAAGTGTCTTATTAATCATGATGACTATTAACATATTTTCATTGACATTTTAATTAAATGCCCCTAGTAATAAAATTCTTTTGAAAATATTATGTATCAACCTGTGAAATACTCTTACGATATATTAATGTATACATACAGCTTTTGCACAAATGATTCCAACAAGGGCCAACAATAGAAGTACGTAAACAGCCTTCATGGTTACAGTATGTCAAACACAACGTATTTTATACTTATAGTCTACACTTGCTAAATTTTTCTCTGTTAAGTGATATTTCTTTACTTCGAGCAGAATCTATTGGCGATTGAAATATTTTTTTGTAAATTTTACTTATAAACTCCCTTATAAAGGAATATTGTATCTTATCATTCTTTAAAATAGTGCGAAAATTATAGCATGAAATTACTGACATTGTACTTTTAAAAGCAGTTATCTTTGTTATCGCGAATAAATGTTATGTATTAACACACATATATATATATATATGTATATATATAAATATATATACACTTATTATTATAATATGAAATCACTTTCACAATCTTTATATTGAAGAAAAAAAAGCAAAGTGTTACCTTAATTAATTCTTTTCTTTAATAATTTCTTAAAATTATAATATTCTTATAATTGTGATCTGTATAAATTAAAGTAATGTATTTTTTTATTGTTGGTAATAAAATTATTTTATATTGAAGAAATTGTACACAAAATAATCTATCTACTCGATTTAGATTTGTACATAAACATCTTTATTAAATATTTTTTTAATTTTTTATTAAATATTTTCAATTTTTATTAAATATTTTTTGCAAATTCACCATCGATTTATTGATCATAAAATGATTTTTTAAACTTGATATTTGCTGATTGATTAACAACCTTTTACTGAGTAATCAATAACCTTTTAATTACGTGATTGTTAAATTCACACAAATTATAATAAAAATCATTTTAACTTTAAATTGTCATAATTGAGACTGTTACTTAATTCTATTTCTACAACTTTATTCTGGACGTTTTTGTCCTTATATGCAATTTTTTATTTACTTTACGTTTAATTTATTACACATTTGTATTATTAGTCCCATTCAACACGCGCGCGCGCCCACACACACACACACACACACACACACACACACACACACACACACACAATTGCATAAGCACAGTTGTAAGTGGTTGTAATCATAAGAATTGACAATCACAATCGAATATTCTTCTAGTATTCAGCTGTGATTGGTAAATTTTTACAACTACAACCACTTACAACTACGTTTACACAATTTTAAAATAGCCAAAACACCGTTTAAGAGTACGCATTGAGTTTCACGATACAACTATATTAGATCGCAGTAGCTGTAATTCACGTAGAACGTGCTTTTTTTGGTTAATCAATTTGTGTAGAAAAGATAGCTGCGATATTGTTGAAGTGATAAAAGAGACTAATAAATCTTGAATTTTGACTATTTTTTATTTTATTTGTTACCAAGAAATAGATCAGTTTTTATATTAAATTGTTGCTTTGTGAATTATTACTGTATCATTTATTATATATTATGTGCATATACTGCATATATTCACTCTGTATTCAATGATATATTTTACTTAATATCTATAATAGTTTATGTACAATTATATTACTTGTATTAAAAACAAAAAGTGAAGGACTAAAAATGTACGCACTTAAAAACTTTATTCAGCTTGAGAAAAATATTGATGTTGTAAATGAAGATAACAATAATACAACTTACATTATAACGGTTTGAATTCTAAATCCGATTAAAAATTAGATCTAGTGACAAAGCTGCTGGTTCTAAGCCCATACCTCGATTGCTCTGGAATCGTCAGTCGAAAACTTATTTATGTGAACTCTGCAAGTAAAAAATACTTCAGGAATTTGTAAAGATATATATATATATATATACCCAAAAAATATTCTATCATTTAACGGTTTCGCGTTAATGTCGGAGGATTTTTCATTTATATACTACCTCAAAAAGATACTCTGTAAAATAAAGAAATTTCGTATAATCATAAAGTTCTGGATTTAAAATTGTAATTCTTTTAATGTTAGAAGAATGTCATGCATGTACTAATACGCACGTGTAGCTATAATGTGGTAGCACATAAATGAGACTTCTTCTAACAAATAAACGTGCCGTTAATATATTAGATATCTTCTCATTTCAAATTATTATAATATTCTATTCGAATTATTATAATAAAATTTTCTATAAAGGAATTTATTTTTGATTATAGTTCAAGTATCCTCATTCTTATAGATGAATACGTATTATAAATTCACGCGAGATTCGTATAAGATTTTTTGCTTAAAGAAAATGCTAAGAGGAATTTTTCGCTTATCGATAGAATATTTTTTGGGAGTATATTTGATAAGAAATACATGCTTTTTTTAATTTTAAATCTTCGTGGTTACACTCTTCTTAAAAGTTCCATAATGATCACATCGGGATCAAAATGATCTGGAACGCATTGAACTAATTGCCGTATTTAGTTTTCGTTCTATGAAGTAAAAAAAAATTACTGGTTAAGGGCGCTCTGGGATTATTTTGATCCCATATGTAGCGACGATAGATTAATCAACATTATTTTCACAAAAAACATTTTTTTTTATAGTGTCCTCTTGAAAAAACATTCGCTCAAATGTATTCACTTTTATCTTCTTAGTAAACTTAATCTCCTGTGAAAAAATGAATGTTTTGTATCAAATTGATATTTGATAAACTTTTAGCTCAAACTATAAAGAATAGCTTTAAACAACATTCTATTATTCAAACTTCGATTCTTGTATAAATTATACATTATAAAAGAGAACGTTTAGACTTGGATAATTACATTAAGTGAAATATTACGTACATTTCTTGCTCTGATATATTTTATACAATATTGCATAAATGTTAAGTTATCTACACTTAGATTTTTCTATTCTCTTCTCTGTTGTAAACTTCAAAATCATAATTTGAAGCTTTTATATACTCTTACAAATTATTTAGATCTAGGGAAATTACTTTTTATTTGGATATAGAGGGTGATCTTTTATTGACACAACGCCGTACTGTGGGCAAGTAGAGTGGATTAAACTAACAAGGGAACGTTTTTAAGTGTAAATAATCAATCTTGTTGAATTTTGATTGGTGAATACATAGATAGATCAAAATTATATTTAAGTGTTATATTAATCGATATTGCACTAAATGATTGTGAAAAAAAAATTAAAAATCTTTTCTTTTTTAACTAAATGAAAATATAAAATTATCAAAGAATCCTTGACTAAGCCTCAAAAGAAACGAATTGAAAATAATTAGCAATTCATTAATTTTTTTAAACAAAATCATTACAATAATGGAATTGTATAAAAAAAATGTTTAAAACACATAGTTTTTTACATTACACACATAATATACTTAAATAAAACCTCTTTCTATTTCACACAAAATACACATAACGGACAATACAATGTAAAATAAATTTCAACAAGATTCTCAAATTCTAATGGTCGATCTTCTAAATTTAAAACCTAATATAAATCTTTTCTGGAAATCCTTTCCGTTTCTTTCTATTTCAAATTGGAGATCACCTCAGCGAAGAAAATTAATTATGCAATAGTGATTGTAGCTTAATTACAAACTATAAAAATCAATGCCTTAAACGGTCTAGCTAAAGTTTAAATGCTTGTACAATTCTATGTGAATTTATGTACATATGTATATAGTCCTTTGAAACGTCGAAATGATTTTCGATCTTAAAACGCTAACTCTACTAAATTACCACAGTAATATCACGAATTAAATTGACTAGCAATTTGAGTGCAGCAATTGTCGTGCCTGAGAAGAAAAAACTCGTTCATCTGATGACCAAATACATCCGCTGTACGTGTATGGCTTTTGATGTTGAAAGAACTTCGTGAATATTATTTTTCCGACCAGCAATCCCAACGTGGTGTACATTGGGTAATGCTAATGTCGACGATAAATGTTATTATTCAAGGAATGATAAATGTACTTCGAAAATTCCGATCAAAAACATCACATAATAATGTAAAGAATATGTTTTACACAAAATTTTAGTTTTCGACATTTATATTAAATTTTTCAAGAGAAATCTTTTTTATTTTATTTTGGAGTACGTCAAAAGTACGTCATTTTAAAAAGTAAAATAATGTTCTTTTTTTACAAGGCACAGAATTCAGGCAATTTTTTATTCCGTGCGCATCATCAAAGTTGAAATTTATTTTTTAATTTTGCAAAATTCACTTAAAACTAAACACCGTTTGTAATACAATTTTTAGAAATATGATTCGAAGCATTCGAAGTATGGCTTTAAGCTTAAAAACGTTTTTTCAAACATTGCTTTGTAACTATTTCTCGTATATATATGTGAACTTTGAATTTGACCTTTTTAACACTAATTCTAAATGATCCTTTAACTTGAAAATAGAAGAAAAATGGTCTCTCTCTTATAACAAGATTTTTCAAAAAGTATTTTAAACGTTAAAATCTCTAATTTCAAAATCGCTAATTGATATTTCAATCTAACTAATTTTTTACAGAGCTATACGTACACAAATGGGTATCCGTCAAATCTAAAAATTCTGTATAAATTTTATAAAGGTTTGTAGCATAAAATAAAAATAATATTACACAAAAACACAGTTTACAGCAGTCGAAATCTTTACCTTTAATTTGCTTTTTTATTAACATAAAGTGATCATTTTTGCTTCAACGTTGAATAACTCACAGTGAAAAAAAATCGTGCAATGATCAATAAAAAAGCAATTTAAAGGTGAAGATTTACTCTTTTAAATGCTGTAAACCGCATTTTCGTGTAATTTTAATTTTACGTCATAGACCTTTGTAAAATTTGTACAAAATTTTCAGATTTGACGGATATCCATTTGTGTCCGTAAAGGATCAATCAGATTGAAATATCAATTACCGATTTTAAAAATAGAGATTTCAAGCTTTCAAAAAAATCTTCTTTCGATTTTTGTCTGCGATGACTTTTCACCGAATTATGGTGTTCTAAATATTGCGCAATTTTGGGCATGTTTAAAAATATTTCCTATTTTTATTGAATAGTATATATACATCATCAAATTTCTATGTATTTTTAATTGAGCATGGAATAAATAAATGAACATTGTATTTTAAAAAATGCTATTTTATTACATATAATAAAAAGTTTCTAGGTATATTGCATTATTTTTTCTTATACAATTTTTTTTCAGAGCTTAGGTCTCGGAAAATGTCTTATGGCGTCTAATTTTTTTGGATCCAGT